TTCAAAATTGATTGCTTGAGCGGAGTTCTCAACTGCCTCGCCCCTTAGTTAGAGTATGCTGTCTTCATAAGCCTATAGAAACTGACTGCTGTTATCAGTTGATGTGCAAGATGAGTTCTCGTGATGCTCGAAGATGTCAAGAAAGACTCTTCAGCACCAGATGAGGCCACCCCTGCCTCAGTAAATGCACCTGTTCATTCACTGCCTCAAAGAAGACTTCCAATTGACATAAATGCAGACATTCCATGTGCAATCCTCCAAGCATGATCATATTACTAAACGAAATTTTTTTCCACGTGAAAGACATCCTAAGCTAAGCATCACCAGTCATCATAATGGTTATCAACTTCAGATGACCATCATCGTCATAATTATTCCCAATATCGATATTAAATTAGTCATTTCAGCATCAATATTATTCATCGTCACCACCGTAATAATCATCATTAACATCATGAAGAGCATTATAACCATCGTGATTCTGAAATCACAATAAGCACTCACGCAAACTGGCCACGATCACCAAACTCCATCTAGGCAGTGACGTGACCGTGGAAGCCGGGAAAACGTTTTTGTGGCGGCGGGACAGTGAGTGAGAGGCAACCACTACCACCAACCCAACGCTGATTATGACGTATCTCTCGCCTGTCAACCCAGCAGCCCGGGAGTGAGAACCATAGGAAAGAGAAAATAAAATCGAAATTTGTCTCATATAGGTGTTAAGATATAATTATTTTGATAAAAAACTCATCATATAAGACAGGGACAACACCGGGAGAGAATCACAAAAAAAGCGAGGGTAACCCGGGTGGTGTTGTAGGCTATACCAGTTAACTTACACGTTTAATAACACCAATAATATGCTGTAGAAAACAAATATTAGAAGGGCGGGGTGGGTTTTGCTTTCTCTTTCTTTTCTTATATTCTTTCTTTTTCTTATTTCCATTAGTTCTATCTAATTATTTCATTTGATATACCTGTATTTACTTCATATCCTCTGACCTTTGGTAGCATGGCGAGGGTTTGGGCACATGGGTTCTGTAATTCTGGTATCAAGTTATTGGACAAGAATAAAGGTAGATACTGATGGAAAAATGATACCCCTAACATACTCTAAAAATGGTTTATTAATATGAAATTAATTTTGGTTAAAGATGTCATTAACATACAACTACAAGGATCAACTCCTTGGCTTTACTCATCTGCAAATCCAATTAGATATTCTTGCTTCTTACATCATTACTGGTTGTACATTTAAAAGAACACACCACATGACAAGCTTACATATGGTACCTTCACGAGAAGTGTTGGTAGTACATATGAAGGATGCACTCACAACAGATAACACGTTATTACTGGTACTATCAATATTTATGGGTTCACTACTCAACATGGGATAACTATATTTCTGCTAATTATCCCCAATCATATACAACAATAATACTTTGGCCCATATAACTGTAAGGAGTGCCCCAGGGTGTCATAACTGGTGTCACCACAACAAACGTAGAGCACTGTCAGGGTCGGTTACAGTCCGACACACTGAGAGGGAGTTCATCCCGCGGGCTTAGTTCCCAGGGTGCGAGACTCACTCAATTCAATCGTTATTCTTCATGACAGCCAGCTGGTATGCAGCTACCGATCCCCTGTAGCTGCTGGGTATTCAGCTAACACCCACTCTGTACCTGGAGATGCGTTGAGGTAGAGTCACGAGAGTGTTAAAATGGTCTAACTTCAACTATACATAGCATACGTCTGGCAACGATACTTACGTTACTTTAATTATACTTGGCACACAATCATTTCACTATGTTAAAACATGAACACTGATATTCACAAAATTCAACTGAGTTAAACTGACTTTACATGGCGGCGGGAAACAATCGTTCACATACCTGGAGATACGTTGAGGAAGAGTCACTAGCGTGTGAGTCTTCCTCGTGCATTTGTTTATATATGGGCATCTGGCAACTCAGACTTGCGCAGGCATGCCAAAAGGGGTAATCTCACAAACGAGGGAAATTCGATTCAACTCGGTCGCTGTACATTCAACTATAAAAATCAGTGTCATGGGTCAGGTGAATTTCTTATGTCTATTTTTATAATTAAATCAGCGATTGAGCTTGCTAGGAAAAAGTTAAAATAGGCATCAAATACACACGCTGTTAGCCTTAGTTTCACAAACTCAGCGGGATTTCTAGACAAGGTGTAGTGGATTCCTCCCCTACAAACGCCGTTTGGTTTGTCACTGAGTAGCCGACCCTCTTCGAATTCCCCAGCGTACGCCTCGTGGTCTAGGTCGGCAACCAGAGCCGCCTAACAAGGCGGAGGTCAACTATCAACCCACGTCTACCCCCGCTATATAAGACCTCACCCCGCCGTGACCTCCCTAGCGGCTTGCTCATCCACGCCCTCGCCGTTATGCCTCACATGTGGGATACAACCCTGCCGACAACAAGTCTCTTGCACCGCCCGTTATGCCTCACATGTGGGATGCAACCCTGCAGACAGGCGGTGTAGGAGACTTGTTGTCTGCAGGGTTGCATAATATAACCCACGTGCCCGGAGTAACCCTTGCCTCTCTCTCTCTCTCTCTCTTACTAATTTACTCTCAAAAGTAAAGAAATTTTGAGAATTAATTACAATTTTATTTTTGGTCTTGATGTGTGTAATTTTGTAAAACAAACTGGCAACGCGGCCAGGACAGTTAACATAGGATAGTGCTGAGTGTGAGTAATGATTTTTCTGCTTCCAGAGGGTACATTTTTTATTTTTTTGTAAAGTGTCTCAGGACTTTATCAAGAATATTAAATGTATTGGAATGTCTTTGTGCACAAAAAGAAAAGACATAGTGTATATAAATTCTAATTATCGTAGAAGTCTAAGATTTACAAACATCCTTGGACTCTATTTTTATAACAAATAAATTAACAAAGGCAATCATTATTGTAAGTTTGGATTCAATTATCATATATATATATATATATATATATATATATATATATATTATATATATATATATATATATATATATATATATATATATATATATATATATATATATATATATATATATATATATATCAAAAGCAAAATTCTATCATATACAGTGGCGGCTCGTGAAAAATAAAATGGAGGGACTGCAAGCCTCACACAACAGTAGGATACACAAATTTGACCTACCTCAGGTATGAGTTGTAGTTGATGTCCACGAATTCCCAGGGCATGGTAGTAGTGTTGGTGGTAGAAGGGATGGCCGAGGTGGTGATGGACCAGTATTAATTGAAAATAAAGTCGGCGTGTCTGCTCTTCGATGTAGCAAAATTGTTTATTACTATTTCATTAAAATCCTTTATTTCTGGGAAAAGTTGATGTTTTGCAAATACTTCACTCGATTTTCCATCGTCAAAGGGTAATTAAAGAAAGCACGATTTAACCACACCGTCCACACGTTGTACGAGACTGAGCTGCTTCAAGTGCGGCGGCGGCGCCAATTAATAACAGACATGAATCGTACAGCATTGACAGCAACTATGAAAGTAACTTAAATTTTGGTCTGATTTTAATGAAAATTCACTTAGCAACGTATTGAAAATAATTAAATAACATATAAAATGATATATTTGTTGGTAGTGTATTATTCAGCTGTCTCTCTAAAGGAATCATACGCCTGGCAGTGAGTGTCTGGAGGGACTGCACGAGCCGCCACTGATCAAATACATTACTACGTAGGCCTACTATATATCACGTTAGCTTGCGCTTGTCGCCACCTTGGGAAACACGGCATACCGTAATAACCCAGTGAAACTGGATTTTTGTTAGCAATGGGAAGTTGTTTGCGGTTTTTTAACTGTTCTGATTGTTCAACAAGAGGAAAAAGTAGAAGTTTCTATCGTATGGCGATTGTTGATATTAATTAATTATCTCTAGATATCAAAATGTGGATATCATTAACCTACTGACTACATTTAAATTGTTTTTATTGAATAATCTGGCATTGCCGCACAATATCATGTAAGGCACAAAGGGCGTAATGTTTGTTTTTTTTTTTTCGGCTGCTTGGCGATGCCACCGTGGCGGTGAGCTATCCTCCTCTAATCTCAAAATCCTTGACCATATTGAGAAACTGGTTCAACTGGTGGGTGTCAGTTGCTGCCTCAAATGTGTCAATAGGTGTACTAATATAGTTTCCTGTATTCTTATATAGGATGTCCCAGAAAAATGTCCCTGCCACCCTCTCTGCCTGCACGCTGAGACACTGTGAGTTGGAGGGAGGCATGGGCATTTTTCTGTGACACTATATTATATCCTTAAAATGCTTCACTAAAAGTAGGAACCGACTCCCTAAAATCCTCCGCTAAAACTAGGAGCAGGATCCCTAAAATCCTCCAGTAGATATAGGAAGAAAACCATTAAATTCCTCCACTAAATCTAGATAAAGTATACATGCCTGCTTCCCGGGTGCTTTTACACATTTAATGGCCAGGCATGTTCAATGGTCTGAACTTGAATGCATTTATACGTACACCAATGACAGTATTATAAGTATCTCCTAAAATTACGTACAACTTAAAAAATGCTTTTATTTAATGGTATCTTAAAGTCTTAACTAATGTGGGAAATTATGTTTCAGATTTACCGCTTAGTAACACGTGCGCGCTACACGTATAAGCACCTGAATAAAATCTTATATTAAATACTGGATGATATATAGACTAATTCTACTGTATCCAGATGAAAAAAATAAGTGATCCAAGACCTTATATGAAGGATCCAAGTTTTGTTTATTATTGGTGCAGTAGAGGTGAACCATCTATGAAGGGAAGGAAACGGAAACAAACCTTTGGTCTAGTGTCTTAATGCTCGTGATACTCTGAGATGGATCAGTTCTTGCCACAGGTAACAGATAAAAAGAATTCTGGTTTGGTATTAAACATTATGTGGAACCCATTGAATGTTTGTAAGCAAATAATAATGTAAGGTAGTTTTATGAAAATATCTGTGAACGCAACCATAGTGCATCCAGCTGATAATTGGAGTGTATAATTTAAAGAACATTTATTATTAGGAAAATATACGGGAAAACACATTTTTCGTGTTCTAGCAATGAATCCTGAGTTAGAATGAACTTTGAAGAATGCATTCATCCCGCAAGAGAGTTTGTCCAGGACACGTGAGCAGTCTACATGCCACGCTACCGGTATTTAGCAATATTATAATAGGTGTTAAACACGTTTTTAAGTTTCTCAGACTTGGCGCCCACAAATATCATCTATATATTGTTTAACACTAGTTTGTAACTAGTTCATGTGATTCGTTGTCCCTTTACTTATTTTGGCCTGGACAAGTTGTCCATGTCATGTCATGACATTTTATGGGTCAATTTAAAGGTTAGGGGAAGGGTCTCCACTATACCAAGGGTGATTGTGCAGTGTAGTTTTGGGTGAACATTTTTCAGTTAACTAATGATGAAATATATTCAAAATTGTTCCTGTCACTTGGTAATTCACAGGAGGATTTGCTCCACTTAATCCCTTAGAATTCTCTGTACCTCATATAAGAATATTTGTTGCAATTGTTGAGATTAGTACAAATAAGTCAGGGGAGGACAACCAGAATGTGAAATTTTGTGTCCCGTTGAACCATGAGTGTTTATGCCTTGACCGTGGTGGCAAATGGTACCATGATGTCATTTGGTGATGCTGGAAGATGTGCTAACAAATACTGCTAAACCTCATGGAACTACATATAGTTTTAGGGGAAATGAATAAATCCACAATTTGTATTTAGGTATAGGCATAAATAACAGTTTGTCTTGCAAAAATCTAGTTGTTAATGGGGTATTTTCATTGTCAGGAAACTTTTTCAATAAATTTGCTCATGGCACCACTTTGTGTTCTGGCTGAGAAAAAATATCAGCATGATGTAGGGCAAAAAAAAATGGGTAATAAACATGGACTCGCATTAACCAACAAATTTAGGACAAAATTTTCTCGGAAGAAACTTCTTTCTTATCTCAAGAATTTACCCATTAAAGGTGGATTACAGCTTTCTTCATTATGGTTAGGCGACTCTTTTTTTTTTATTCCCTAACCTGAATCTGTGTTGACACCATGGCTTATAGGAGCATCAAAAGACAATTGGGTAAATATTTCGAAGTTGCCATGCATGGAAATTACTATGGAAAATAGGTTTTAGTGTTTATAGTGTATTTCCTTCGTGTTTCATATGAATTTTACTTTCATTTCTGTCAGAAATAAGTACATATCAAGAAATACCCCCCTTCCTCCCCCTATTACCAACAATATTAACTGCACAAAGTGGGCAGGTGATTTTAAAGGTGAGGGAAGTTGTGGGGTAAAAACACGCAAAAATATGATGAAATGAAACCTAACCAGAGAAACCGGAAGGACCTGACCTAACATCCTAGCCAGGGGTGTAAGCAACCCCCCAGTGTAAAAAACACTTACTGTGCCTTAATTAGGAGATGTAGAAGGATAAAGTGATGCCACCTTAATGAGAAAGTGGTGTAGTATGATGTTCAGACACAGTAAACCCACAATGATGAGATTTCTTCCTCTTTGGGGAGTGTCTGCTTCTTACCGCAATACCAAGTGTGCCAATCTTCACTATACTGATAATCTGAACACTATGAGCCCTGAAGATGTCAACAGCTGTGGGTTCATTCTGAATTATATACCAATCCGCCAAGGAGCAACTTTCACAGACAGACACCATCTTGCAACTGCGTAATTCAAATTCCAGAGCTTGTGCATGTTCATGAGTATCATGTGACATCCAAACTTCTGCAAAGTAATAAGTAAACTGGAATTATATTTTAGTAAAATAGAAAAGTCAAAATAACTCGAAAACTGTAATGTAAATGGGAATGGTGAAGAAACCAGAAACAGTTGTTTGATTTTGCTATTTGTTTCACATATGTTTGGATGATAGTATATAAAAAGATACAATAATGCACAAAACCTAACAGAACCTGACCTTACCAATCAAACCTACCAAACTTCCTAACTGGGATTCTGCCTCCTAGACACCCCCCCCCCTCCCTGGCATATTAAAAAAAGAACTTACTTTGATATCTGGTACCAATGAAAGCAACTTTCTTGAAGCAGCATTGTGTAATTTTACATTTATTGGTTGTTGCACTAAAACACATGTTTCTTCCTCACTGTCAGTTCTTTGCTGTATTTTGAACACTTACACACTCTGCCAACTAGTCTCTGTCAACAGATGAACTCTTGGAGACTGTCTTCATCCTCTACAAGCACTTATAATTTGTGATAAGGCAGAGAGCAACCCACACAGGACACCATTACTACGTAGTTAAAATACAAGATAGCAAGCTTGTCTCGGAATCTGTCCCTGTAATTTCCCTATTCTATCATGCCTTGCTCGCAACAGGTGATTTATGATCATAGAGAGAGAAAAAATTTATATATGTATATTAAAATTACAGGAAAAAGTTGTTGTATTGTTTTTATCTTATTATCATCCAAACATTTGTGGAAAAAAATTTAAATAGAAAAAACTCGAACTCCTTCTGGTGAGCCATCCTCTATTACCTTATAAATTTCCAGTGGAAACACTATATTTTTTATTTCTCTCTCTATCTCGCTATATAAGATTCATTACAATGCATGGCAACTTTGAAATATTAACCGACAAATGTTTCACAGCCCAGCATTTGTTCTGATTGATTGAGGCTGGTAATGATATCATTCCATCTCTAGGGAAAGTACTGTACAGTATGTATGTGTCATTCCATGTCCCATGAACTAAAAAGTACACAACAACCTAATTCTAAATTAGTTTGTGGAAAATATGTCAATATTTGCTCATTTATTAGTCTGTAAAGGTAATGCTGAAACTTATTTAATGGGTGTCAAATCATGTGTTCCTTTTACATTTAGTACATTTGGGAAGTTCTTGAAGTACCAGATACTGTATCATTATACTGTATAATATAATTTATCATTTATAAAATAAACCAATCAAACCTATTTACCCTACCTGAACTTGAATGTCACCTAAACATAAGCATATGATTTCAATGTAATTTTCTTCCCCAACATTTGAAAATGTCATGTAACTACTGGTCTTTTTTCTTTTCTTTTTACGGGATAAGCCCACCTGGGCACAGGTCACTGACCCACATCGGGGCCTGGGGGGCAAAAATGTATTAATAATAATAATAATAATAATTCACAGTAAATAAAAAAAAAATCAAAATTGAGAAACAATATCTGTATGTTGTGTTGTCAATAGTAAGAGAAACAATTGAGACCCTGCAGTTGTGTGTAAATGAGGCAGAAAGTCAGATCAGCAACCTGGGACTTGGTCACAATTTTTGTCATGCCATATGGCAGCAGGGTCCACCATTAGACAGTACATTATGCTTCCAATATCTTCCCAGGCGGTAGTACCTCCCTGTTTGGTAGCTGCCTACTACCTACAGTAGTAGGTAATCCAACCTAAACTTTCTGCTAATTGTATAAACAGCAAATCCTGGGCATTAGGAACCTTGAGTGTGGTGAGTGGTCACAGATTAAAAACATCTGAATTTGCACTTCCTCAAGAGACGTAGAGTGAGGGGCGATATGATCGAGGTGTATAAAGGTGATAAAACAATGGTACCGGTACTTAAACTATCTAACCAAGAGTGAACACAAAGCAATGGTTTTAAATTGGAGAAATTTATATTTAGGCGTGAGATAGGAAAACACTGCTTTGGAAATTGAGTTGTGGATGAGTGGAATGAAGTACAGTACTAAACCTCATCATTAATGTAAACTCACTGGGAAGCTTCAAATATAGGTTGGATGGGTATTTGAATGATATGTGTTGGGTACAAATGGGGCTGTTTAGTATAGGTCAATAGGCCCTCTGCAGTTTCCTTTATTCTTATGTTCTTAACATAACATTTATGTTGTCTTCCTTTACAGAATACAGTACAGAAATCCAATCTGTCAAGAATTTAAAAAAAAAATATATATAGTTTTTGTAATCAAAGTTTGCCAATTTTGTCAAGATAAACTTTTCATACACAGGAACATCTTATAAGCTACAATACTACTAAATTATATGATTTATCTGAGATAAGATGAACCCGCTTAATATATCTATTCTAGGTTAGGTACTAAAAGCTAAGTTGGTTCATCTTATCTCTTGATAAATTTAATGAATCATAAAATGAAGCAAGAGGTAGCTACTGTAGTATAACTTTAACCTGTGTATGAAGCAGTTAACATGGTGTCCTCATGTGCATTTGTTTGTAACAAGAACTTAGGAAAAACAAAATTAATAAAGTTTCAATTCCCCCAGTTGTATAGGGATATTCTTAAGGTGAAAATGTAATTTACTTCTTAAGGATATTATTCTAAAGTAGCTGGTTAGTATGGAATGGTCACTTGTGCTAACTGGCCACTTCACCTGTCGGTTATTTTGGTCACAGCTGATGTTTTCTTTTAATGCGAGTACTTGTACTTGAACTCAAAATTTTACATCTTGGTTGTCCTCTGAATATTTATTTTTTACAAATCCTGATGATTGCAGCAATTTTTCCATGAGGCAAGGTAAAAATCTGAAGAGTAAAGTGATTCTGATCATTCTAACTTGATCTAATGACTTTATTTTTTAATTAGATCTAATAGTTTGGTTCTTGTCATCTTTTATATTTGATTTAATTATTTAGCCTCACATAATCATTACTAACAGCAGTTCAAGCTTCTTATTCATCTGTATTTTGCTTTATCCTCTTCGCCACTAAACAGTCTGTTAACCGTTTAGGCATTCATTTGCATCTTTGTTATGCCCTTTTGGCAAGTACTGTACTGGGCATTCACTGGCTCTTAATGTATCTGTACCAGTGTTGGTCAAGGAGTGAGCACAACACACATTGGCAGATTGTTCCAAGAGTTCACAACTCTCACTCCAATAAAAACGTTTGCCCTGATAATTTTTTGAGCTTGTGTCTTCTGCAACCTTAAGCTGTGACCTCTAGTGGGGTGGGCATCTGCCATTTCCGGGTATGAACATTCGGCTGAGTAATACCCTCAGATGTTTATATGCATTGTAAACATAATACAGCAGAGCTTGTACAGTATATGGCTATTTAATATGGTAGAGCTTGCATAGCCAGGTACCCCGAATAACAACTTTAATTAAAGTAAGATAAATAAACTGTAGATCAAAATAATAATAAAAAATTAAGCAAGGAACACAAATACAATTAATTACTGGACTGTATCTACAAAACTAGTTTATCCATAAAATCGGAAATCCGAAACTTGGGGTGTGTCTGTACTAATGTAATACCGCCATGAACTACTGGTGTGTCCATCATGTCTCATTAACCCCTTCACTACGGGGATGTGGCTTTTAATATTTTATTTGGCCGACACCAGGCCATTTTATTATGCTCAGAGGGAAACTCATACATAAGGGGCTAAAATAAACCATCACTAAACTCTGATTTTAACAGGGATGGACAAAAGTTTGGCATCACTCTGGCCCATTCCTGCTAAAATCAGAGAAATAAGTGATGATTTGTTTCACTTTTATCACAGTGGGCCTAGTACATTACAGAGCATGGAGGCAATGGTGTACAGTATTTGTCATGAGCCTCTGTGGCAGAAGTCATTTGAGTAGAAACATGAAAAACAAAAAAAATTGTTTTGTGATAGTCAGACCTCATAAATTTAAACACCTTGGGACCAAGCAGTGTGTGGAGGTCTAACAATTGCATACTTTTGAGTGATGTGGAGCCCAGATTGTGGTTTTGGATAAACATAAACAAATGAGTGCAAGGATATGTAAATGAATCCAAAAATTGTGTTGATGACTACTGTATTTTATTATGAGGTTTAATGTCATAGGTTTGTGCTTGTTGCCACTGTCACCATTATACATCATATTACACATGTATTTTAAAATTTTGGTAAAATTAATTGGTTCTTTTACCCATAAGAAGGCCATTCCTTGAATCACTTGTCTACCACGGCATCAAGTCCTGCTGGCCTTTCTCAATTCAGTGACTTATGCTTTGCCAAGGCTTTCTATGTTTTGTTGCTAGCACAGAATTTCAAGATATTTTCACACTGCCTCTTGTTATCATGAATTGTTGTGTTTCCAACACCATATTGTTCAGCAAGTTTGCATGCTGAAACACTAAAGCTTTTTGCACATTAAGTGTGTACTTCCTTTTCACATTGTTAGCTGCAAGCTTCATTATCGCTTGGCCTTTTTGTGGAAGCCATTGCTAGAGAAGAAATTCTAAGTTAAAAGTAATAAAAGATTTACAGTCATGGCAAACAGTATGATGCAGTAGGCATTGAGACTGACACACATGCAGGAACACAGATTAGAGTGGCTAAACTCACAAATTAATTATCAAATCATGGCTCACACTTTAGATCTGAAACCTAACAGATTCTTAGATCTGAAACTTTGCAGATTCTTCTTATTTATATTTTTTGAGCTTTGACTGTTCAGTACCCCATTGGTCCTAATTAAGGGGTACAGTAATAAATATAGCATTGCTTCCATAAGAAAAGTTCATAGGTAAGTACAGTACAGTATTGTACTGTACAGTGATTATGATAAGTAAATAAATGGTTATACACTATTATGCTGTTCAAAGTGTTCCTATGTCTTGGAATTATTCACTATTTTCACATAGTACAGTACAATGGGTAGAGTTATATTTCAAAGAATTCAGTGCAAAGTGCTTGGTAAAGCAAATCTGAACTTATTGTACAGTACAGTAGACCCTTGCCGTTCGCGGGTTTGTGATTCACGATTTTGATGATTTGCGGTAAGCAGATGGTGGCTAGCTTGCGAGCGCTTTTTCTTACCGCAGCGCAATGAGTCACCCCACACGCCTGCAGCATCTCCTCTCCCATTGTTCACGCTCAACCATTGCCTGTGATGCAGCATCTCGTGTTGCACTCTCAAAACTTTAGTGTTTCTGTGTGACAGTGTCCCCTAAAAGACTGCCTAGTGTCAGTGCTAGTGATGCTAGTGGAGTGAAACATAAAAGGCAGAAGTCATTGATGACTCTGACAAAGAAAGTTGAATTATTAGACACGTTAAAGGAGGGGATGAGTGCTGCCGCGGCTGGTCGGTTGTTTGGTATAGGTAGACAGTAGTGCACTAAGGTAGTATAAGTTGCTATTCGTGGTTTTGCCTATTCACACCATTCCTTGGAACCTAACCCCCACGAATAACAAGGGTTTACTGTACTTAAAATCCTGTACCAAGTTTCTATACAAGTGACAGGTATTTAGAAAATTCAATTACTGTTAAGTTAAATGCCATGAAATAAATAAATTGAAGTTAGTCCTCTTCATAAGAGGGGAAAAATAAATTGTTAATGAAACTAACTTATATACAGGGGGTCCCTGGGTTACGAACGGGTTCCGTTCCTGAGCACGTTCTTACCCGGTAAGTCAGATTTGTACGTAATTCGGAACACATGCTATGTGCATACCGTACTTACAGAACAATGTTTAAATTCCCACTAAAGTAAGTCATCAGGTAAATAAAATACTATAAATTTTAAGTTTAGCCCCGTTCATATCGGCGGGCATTCGTAAGTCGGGCGTTTGTAAGTCGGGGACCCCCTGTAGCACAGTACAGTAATGGAGTTTATAGCTGCATCTTAGAAGTGTACTAAAGTATTGATTTATTGCAGGTGGAGTCATACAAGGGTACAGTGAAGGAAAAAGTAAGTATATTTCTACTTTTATAAGACATCATTAGGATGTACAGTATCTCATAATGAACTATTTTTGTTGTCATCATGAACATTTTTGTGTCAGAATTAATTTTAATGTAAGGCTATTTATGGTTTCTGTTGATTGGATGAAAAGCTTGCATCTATTTCTGAACTCTCCTGGAATATTTCATCCTGTACTAGGTACAGGCATCCTCTGCAATCAAAATGGGTTAGTTTCCTTGAAAGCCATTCAGTGAAGCTTACTGTATTTTGGTTAATTCTTGTGCTTTACACAACTACCAATACTGTACATCTTTTAAGGTGTTATACTGTATAGGTACAGTACAGTAGCTAAAACAACTATCTGTGCATACTTTGTGGGAAACAATATGAGACCATGGACGATAAATTTTGATATAAGAGAGCTGTCACTAATCACACGTAAAATTTCGGAGCATATCGACCCCCACCTGCACAGATACTGAAATAAATTTGTTATTAAAAAGTGGCACGGCACGGCAGGGCAAGGAAAACATACCATTCATTACATAATCTCAATTTTAATTTCATGTAGTATTGCTAGAGATGTCATTCTATTTCAGTGGTCTCCGAAAATTATATGAAATTTTTTTTAAATAAAGAAGAATTAATAGAAAGACTCACATAAAAATTAAAATTGAGATGCAAAAACAATGCCAGTGTTGGAACACACCTCAGACATGCAATTCAGCAACTGGGACAGTGTTACTCCAGTGTAGGGGTTTCCAATTTATTTAAGCACTTCCAGTATATACAGTATGCCTGGATAATTCTCAGATTTTTATTTCGCGGTCCTCATTATTCGCTGATGACACCCTGGATGTACCCAAGAATGTCTGCGGGCAGCTTTAAAGTTGCTGGGATTTTCGTGGCTGGGACAGGGAGACATTCGTTCTAGAGACAGTAATTTCCTTTACCTGTATTGTATATATATATATATATATATATATATATATATATATATATATATATATATATATATATATATATATATATATATATATATATATATATATATATATATATATATATATATATATATATATATATATATATATATATATATATATATATATATATATATATATATATATAGACTCAACATTCTTATATACCTTATTTCGATATTTGGAGATTTTTTTCCCATTATTATTATTTGTATGATTTGTTTTAGTGTATGCCGCACGCTGTCTAGCTTTAAAACTTTACCCTACAGACATTCTTTGGTACATCCAGGGTATCGTCCGCTTGGATTAATTTGAACTTCTTTTAAAAGACCATACTATAGGATTATCCTCTCCACCAAATGCTCTTTACAAGTTAGTGGAAGTCCCTCTTGGGCAATACACCTTCAATTTGGTGATGATGCCACTCTCCTGTCATCAGAAAGATCAGTCAACTTCACTGGGATGGCTTTGTGCATTGTCTAAGATGAGCAGTGTCTTGTTGCAAATTATACACTTCATACTGAAACTTTTAGCAGTAGGTAAAAGCACTTAATGAACGAGTCTTGAAAAATGCTCATTGTTATCCTAGCTTTCTTATTTGATCACCAAATCACAGTTTGGTTAAGCTTAGTATAGCCTTTTTGAGCCCTGGGATTTTCATAATGTTACACCAGGAATTTTGATTGTGCACTCTTTAACAAAAAATTATTTCTTATCTGTTTTATGAATACAGTGCTGTAATACCTACAATAATGATAAAAAGAAATGAGTGTGGAATTGACTCTTTTTAAGTACCATTTACTGTATATCAAATAGATGATTATCATTATAAGAAAATTATTGGATGATGATGATTAAATCTAATCCTATCCTTTGTACCTGCAGGCAGAGGAGCTAGTGAAAAAAAAGTTTCCTGAGCGTATTATCCATTTCAACAAGCTTCTGGAGGAGTCTCCATTCTTGTGTGAAAACCTTGAAGTTGTGCACTCTGACCTCAAGATTCCTGTGCCTGAACCACATATTGTGAACAAGTGAGTTATATGAGAATATTGTGACAAAGGTTAAGTGTACAAAACAAATTAATTTCCCAGGGAGCCATGGGGTTTCAAAAGTCATTGTCTAATGTAAAAGGTTGTATTTATTATTGCATCTCCATTACCTCCTTGGAGTTCACCCCACAGATGCAGTACACTGCTGGAAGTTTACAATAGCATGGTAAGTGGTGTAGGGTGTTTATGAAAAAATGTATTCACAATAAGAATAATTGATATACACAGGAGTATTGAATGCATATTGGATGTGTTTATTAAGTGCAAATTTGTATTTCAACCAGTACCACTAATTGATACTTGGCCTTTATTCTGTAGGAGTGTTTCATGTGGGCAGAAAGTGTGGACATAATTCAGGTCATAAATGCCTAGCTGGGATCTCTTACCCCTGGCTTATTATGGAGATCCCAGGGAAATTCTTGGCTTGATAGTAAACCATGATAAATTGGTGACCAAACCATTGGTTCCACGTGGGAGCTGTCATCCATGGAGAGAGGGAGAGAGAGAGATGCCTGTTTGTTTTGCCCCTGGTACCCAATTTGTTGACATTACGTGTTTATGAAATGAAATACTCCCATATGATATTATTTTGCTGGTGCCATATACTGTACATGAACAGTAATACAATTCAAATGTAAAATCAGACATAATGCCTGGTGAGTGAACTCAACAAGAGCGATTTTATCCCATGATTACACAAAACTTGCTCCAGTACATGAATCCAATCATCACTACCTGAGCATTTGACACACTTCAAAATTAGCTGGGTATTGTGTCCTTTGACATTTCTGTTCTGCTTAATGTCTTTTCTCCTATTCATTGAAAACCTTGTGAAATAATTATTTAAATGAACAAACAGGAGATTTGGTTGATGCAGTAAGTACATAAATGCTATGAAACTATCTCCTTCTCCTATTACCCACACCTCTTTCATTACTTCTAGGAATCGTTGTAAGGCTATTCTTCGTAGGGCCAAGCGGAATTTTATTAAAAGAAAGACTGCTGTCCTGACTAATTCTTCCTCTAGTAAATCCTTCTGGTCCTTAGCTAAAAACATCTGTAACAACTTCTGCACGCCTTCTTTTCCTCCCCTCTTCCGTCCCAATAACTCTATAGCCAACTCTCCCCCTGAGAAAGCCAACCTCTTTGGCACCTTATTCTCCTCTAATTCCACCTTAGACGATTCCCACTCTACCCCTCCTACCCCTGCACCTCCTACTGAACCTATGCACTTTCCTATAATCTCCACTCGCAGGGTTGCCGGTGTGTTATCAAGGTTGGATGTGAGTAAGGCGCATGGACCGGACGGAATACCCCCCTCGTGTTCTGAGGGAGTGTGCTGAAGCCCTGGCCCCTGTGCTTGCTCGCCTCTTTCACCTTTGCCTCAAAACCAAAACTTTTCCTTCTTCTTGAAAGCATTCCTTGGTTCAGCCCATCCCGAAGAAGGGTGACCATTCTAATCCCTCTAACTATCGCCCCATTGCCCTTACTTCATCCCTCTCTAAGATTTTCGAAACTATCTTGAACTCCCATTTTCTCCGTCACCTTGAACGCCTTTCTCTTTTGTCGGATCACCAGTATGGCTTTCGCCAGGCAAGATCTACTGGTGATCTGCTCTCCTATTGCACCCATCTTTGGTCATCCTCTCTTAGGGATTATGGGGAAACTTTTGTCGTGGCCCTCGACATCTCCAAAGCATTTGACAGGGTATGGCACAAGTCTTTGCTATCTAAACTTCCCTCTTTTGGTTTCTCTCCCCCACTTTGTTCTCTCATCTCTAGCTTCCTTGAGAATCGATCCATGGCAGTTGTTGTCGAGGGATCGATTTCTCGCTCTTTCTCTACCAATAGTGGCGTCCCACAGGGTTCTGTTCTTTCACCAACTCTCTTTCTTCTTTTTATCAATGATTTACTTCACACTACAACTTATTCTATCCATTCTTACGCCGATGATTCTACTCTTCACTCTTCCTCACATTTTCCCCTTCCTCCTAACTCTCAAACTAGATCTGTTTCTAGAACTGACATCAATACTTCTATCAACGTGGATCTATGCAGCATCTCTGAATGGGGAGATACAAACTTGGTTAAGTTCAATAGTAACAAAACTCAATATTTACCAATTACACTTTGTAAAGTAGACGATCTCCCACCAATTACATTTCAGGACGCTATCATCCCCCCAAATTCTGAAATAAATATGTTAGGCCTCACCATTTCCTCCAATATGTCCTGGAAATCACACATCCTTAGTATAACTAAAGCTGCCTCCCGAAAGTTGGGAATGCTGTACAGATGCCGCAGCTACTTCACTCCTGAGCAGTTGCTCCAAGTATATAAGGGATTCATTCGTCCTAACTTGGAGTACTGCTCTCATATCTGGGGTGGCTCTTCTTCTGTCCAACTATTAGATAGGGTGGAATCAAAGGCATTTCGTCTTATTAACTCTCCTCCTCTAGTCGACACTCTCTCTCCCCTTTCTCTTCGCCGCAATGTTGCTTCACTCTCTCTCTTTTACAGGTACTTTAACGGGCAATGTTCAGGGGATTTGGCATCCTGCGTACCGCCGGTAAGGCCGTGGGTTCGTAACACACATCTTGCCCGCTGTGCCCACCATTTCTCTGTGGATATCGGTCACACGAGAATAACCCGTTATAGTACCTCCTTTTTTCCTCACACAGCCAAACTGTGGAATGCTTTGCCTTCTGTGTTTCCATGCTCTTACAATTTGTCTCACTTTAAAAAGCTGGTTTTCCGGCATCTTCGTGGTGTAGATTAATACAGTATAACCTTTCTTTCTATATTTTCAATTTCTTTCCGTTCTTTTTTTTCGCCCCCCAGGCTCCGTTGTGGGTCGTTTGTCCTGTGCCCGGGTTGGCTAATTCCCGTAAAAAAAAAAAAAAAAACCCACTAAACTGTCACAACTCTTGTAGTGGGAAAGTTTCTTTGGAAGTAATGCATCTATTTTCCTTTGAAAATAAATGTTTTATTTTATTTTTTTATTTTTATTTATTTTTTCTTCTCAGCCATGATGGGGATCCTCCCGGAAAGAAGCGAAAGATGTCTGATGGATTAGAAGATGCTGTGACGGGAGCAAAAGTGTTTATACTTCCATCAGGCTCAGTGCCCATCAATCCACACATCACACTGATGGTTGATACAATCAAACCACTCATCTGCCAACTTGTTGAAGAAGCAAATCTGGTAAAGGTCAAAGTAGAATTATTATTGCTAGATTTTCTCATGTGATTTTTGTCACATTTGTGCTGAAATATGTTAGAAAGGAATTTTTTCTGAAGTAGAAAAGTGAAAAAAAGTTGTTTTACTAATATTTTCTTCTCATAAATTGGGGAAGCAAATAGTCATTTCTTTGTCATATCATCATTTTTCTTGTGTTTTATGTCTGGCTTATAACTAACTAGTGTAGTAATTCATATAACACAATGCAAATGTGTATTTTAATGTGTCAGTGGACACAGTTCAAAGATACGGTGGACCTCCTTGAACACACAAGCACACACATCTGATTTTGCAAGTAACCTATTTGTAACCCATCAATGGTCACATGAATATGCATGTTATGTCTCCTGGTCAGCAAATATCAAATCAAATTATCCTTTTATTAAGTTCAATTGCTCCCAAATGATCCCAGAAGTAAGTAAGTAAGTGTGTGTGTGTGTGTGTGTGTGTAAAAAAAAAAAATACATAGAAATTCTAAAATGGGTCTCTCTTTTTCTTCTCAGCACCACGAGAACTCTCATTTTTACGCTTGCCAGCCATTTTAAAGGGAATTACAAACGAAAATTTTTCAGTACACAGCGCGATCACTAACGTTGGTACTAGAAAATACGTAATTTGAAAAATATTTTATACAACCACGGCGGTCGTACGTCCGGGTTGTCTTAAGTCTAGGAATACCTGTGTGTGTATATATATATATATATATATATATATATATATATATATATATATATATATATATATATATATATATATATATATATATATATATATATATATATATATATATATACATATATATATATACATATATATATACACACAAAGTTACGCTGCTTACTTCAGTCACAAAAGCACGACACTAGTGATGGGAACTCAATTATTTTATTAAAATTTTAAGAATTGTTGTGGTGGAGGGAGGTGTGGTAGGGGATTAGTGGGTCTCATGTTAATAACCTGACCCGATCGGTGTCAGGTGGAGATGGGGGTAGGGGATAAGTGGTCTTATATTACCAACCTTATGATGCATTTCATAGTCAGACCGAAAGCAATTCACAGTTACTAAAACAGAATACTGTACAATTTGAACTTTAGTGATGTCCTCTCACTATAAGGTAGAAAACAACACCAACTTGGCGAGTTAGCGGGATGATAAATATCGATAATGCGAGTTCGTTTACATCACAAATAGGGAAGTAGTCTTAAATAACTCTTAATATACGAGTATCAGCATCGTTAATGTGAATAATTGTAGATTGGGATAGCATAAAGAATGGTTTACGTGTAGCTGGTTTTGTACTCACTGCAGTGATACTCATGGCAGAGGTATAAAAGGGAGATGTGCTTTGACATGTACAGTCTCCTGAAAAAGTATTGTTAGATTTTCTGTCACAACAATTTGAAACACTAGACGAAATGCTTTGATATGATTCCCAGTATATCATCATAAGTTGGTACGCCTTCTCCCCATATCAACAACAGCTTGAGATAGGAGTAGGATTGGGGGAGGGAGTCATCCTTGTAAGGCATATTAAATACTTCAGTATAACAAGAAATCCATTATACTATATTAATGTACTGTATAGATCGTGCTGGGTAGAAGCAAGGCATATGTAAATAAGCCATTGACTGATGATTAATATAACACTCAAATATACATTAAATAGAAGTTTTTCAGAACACCATAATTGAGATATAAACCTTAAAACGGACATTTCACCATTATGTTGTTGTAGCAGCGGAGTTTCATTCATACCGAGTTTCACAATATGCTTGTTCATATTATTCACGATAGGTCTGATTCATGAAGAGTGACAAGGCAAATAGAACTGGATATTAGAGTGTAAATTGTATTGGTTTAACACCTAAATAAGGTTTCAAATCAGGGACTTATATTGTAAGTTTCAGTGTGGCACCAGTTGTTTCATGGCATCTAACCCATCGTGATATTGTTGGTTCACTCATCGCAGTTCATCGTGCTATTTCAGCGTTATGTATACCCTCGTTGTTAAGGTCAATACAATAATAGCACCTCTCACATCTTGCGATGTCTCCCTGATAATCCCTCGCTCCATTCGATGTAAGAGCCCGTTGATGACTGCTCTGGTGTTGGGGTCCATTTACGATATCCACTCCGATTCATGTAATATATAATCTGAAGCTTGGAGGATTCAGATGATTTGAAAGCATATATACGTACTCATTCATGCTCAAAGGTCATGGATGTAGAATTTTTTTTTTTTACGGGGATTAGCCCAACAGGGCACAGGTCACTGACCCACATCGGGGCTTGGGGGGCAAAAAATAAAAAAAAAGGATCAACAGTGAGAAATTATATACTGTATGTATGTTGTGTTGTCAATAGTAAGAGAAACAATTGAGACCCTGCAATTGTATGTAAATGAGGCAGAAAGACAGATCAGCAACCTGGGACTTGGTCACAATTTTTGTGATGCCATATGGCAGCAGGGTCTGCCAGTAGACAATACATTATGCTTCCAATATCTTCCCAGGCAGTAGTACCTCCCTGTTTGGTAGCTGCCTACTACATACTACCAGCCATTCAAAAACAGGTCAAGTAACATTGCTTGGAGAGCCTTGAATCACATTGACCCCTTGGCTAACAATATCTTTTGTGGGGACTGCACATATGACATATCATAAAGGTAATTTATAAATTGTTAGCCAAGATGTGATGTTAACCCTCTGGTTCTCCTGGCCATGGTCAGAAATCTCAACCCCTCACAGTTTTTTGCTGCGTCAGTAACAGGATTGGTTTTTCCAATTAGCAGAGCGATTCAGACCCAAATTACATCCTTAAGAGAAACATATGCCAGCCCACGAGGCTGGTGGTTGATAGGCTGGTCCACTGTGCCAGTATTTCTGCTTATGGTAAGGGTGCTCTCAGTGTGAGATATGGCAGAGCAGGAGGGGGCAGGCCAGCATGGGAGTATAGCACGAAAGACCACAAGAGGGTTAAATATAAACATACATGTATTTGAACGTCCCGTTCTGGTTTCAGTAATAAATTCTAGGTCTTGTAAGTTGCAATCTGCATACATCAGGTATCAAAACTTAAGATGTGTTCATGTAACCATTTATGACTAGTGTGTGTTCAATAAGTTACTACCTGTTTAGTTAGAAATATGACATTTTTCTAAAACTGTCAAAGGTGAGCTCAGCTACAGCTTTTAGGTAAACCTTAGATACCTGAAATTATTGCCATCAGAAAAGCCAAAATCATGGAGTTTAATTTACAGTAAAGTCCTACTTAAACTTGCAAAATACTTTCCTGTAAAAGTGCTTGTTAGGTGGATTCTGTTTTAACATAACCCATTTTCCCTTAGTATACATTGAAAATAACTGAGGTATAAATTTGGATGTGCTTCAGCTCGAAGAGTTTTGACCCTGTGGTCAGTCTCTAGCGTGGTATGTGCACATAAATGCCACTACAAATGGCAATGTATCATCTGGTGCTGGGAGCATCTAGAAGTAGTGGCTGCAGTAATAAGAACCTAACACAGACCATATTCTGTCTTGCATTTACTAAAAAAATATATATATATTTATATTATTAGCTCATTCTTTACAAAAATTATAATATTTATTGGTGAAGAAGCATTGTCAGTGAGCAGCATCCCACAGATGAGTATCTGTCTACCTTGCAGTGCATTGTGGGTGTGACAGCCTGCAGGGTGTTGAAACCATGGAGGTACAATAAGGGTGGAGGTGGCATCCGCTCAGAAAAGTGAGGTCACTCTGAGGTGCTGGCAGCCATATTGTGGTTGGCAAAAAAGGCTAGGTTGCGGCCGTGTCCCGCCAGTTAACAGTCACCTCACTTGTTTACACATTAGCAAATGTATTTATGAATGAACAGTTGGACAATAATTCATGTAGAGTATCAGTACGCACGTCGTTGACTGGTGAGTGGCAGCAGGCTCTTGCCAACCACAGTATGGCTGCAGCGCGGCTGGCTGGCTTCACTCTCAACAGCACTATACACTGCTCATGCCGCCTCCACCCTTATTCTACCTCCATGGTTGAAACGGAGGTGTCAGTCATGAAAACATAAATGTACTGTATTTGCAATACTGTTTCAGCAGTAACCGTTCATCATAATATGAAGACTATAGTTTAAGGGTAGTTAAATTAGTTAGTTAATGTAATTATTATTAATATTTCCTCTAAATACCATATTTCCTGACACAAGATTCACTTTTTTCCCACAAAATATCTCTAAACATCAAGCCAAAGGTTAAACCTAAGGGGATGCAGTTGCCAATACTGGACTAAAACCAAGACATCCCCCCTTCCCTTTGATACATTAGTGCTCAGATGACCCCAGAATGAAATACAGTACAAAGTTCTTGATCCAACAACCTTGGGACTTTGGAATTGCTTTTTATTCTACAGTTATTGGAATGTAACCCTCACTGGGGGTGAATATTTACTCTTTAGTTTTAAATGTAATTATATGTATTCTGACTCCTCAGCTGAAAATGTGGATATCCTTCTTGATTCCAAAAATTGAAGATGGCAATAATTTTGGTGTGAGCATCCAAGAGGAGACCTTGGGAGAAATCCGTACTGTGGAATCTGAGGCAGCTTCATTTTTCGACCAGATATCACGATATTATATGACACGTGCTAAGCTCGTGTCCAAGGTATGTATCACAATTTGTATTTGTCACTTATGGGTAACATGAAAGCTTACAATATTTAAGTATTTATTTAATTGAATGAACACATTTACTTTTGTAATAATGGCACCAACCTCTGGGTTAGAAGTAGAGGATGTCGCATGGCTTTGTTTTGGGTGAGGTGAATTCATCTCTTCATCACTGAAAGGAGTAGAAGAGACTGCCTGTAAAGATGAGTGAGATGGTAATAAAAGTTTGGGGAGTCGATGTACAATACAGGCAGTCTCAGGGTTACGTACGAATTCCATTCCTGTGGGCGTTCTTAAGTCGAACCACATACCCTATGTGCATATACTGTACCGTACTTACAGAACAATGTTTACAATCCCACTTCATCATACCCTAAGTCAGGGGTGGGCAATTATTTTTGATGGAGGGCCACTTCATGAATGGTGGCACACTTCGCGGGCCACAGGTTAACAGCGACGAGCCAGTATTGCTGCTATGTCTACCCAACTTCCAAAATTGTCTTTTCTGTAATTAATAAGAATTTTTTTTTCTGATTGCCAAATGCAGTGGCGGGCCACAGAAATAATTTGGCGGGCCAAATGTGGCCCACGGGCCGCACTTTGCCCACCCCTGCCCTAAGTCCTTATAAACTGTACTTCTAAATTCACTTAATTTAAGAGAAAAGAAGCAATAGAATGCTAAAATACAGTAAATTAAAGTAAAAATGTCCCCAGGAAATAAAATACTGTAATATAAATTTAAAGTTTAACCTCGTTCGTACCGGCGGATGTTCATAAGTCAGACATACGTAACCCAGGGACCTCTTGTACTTGTTTCTGTGGTAACTGGTTGCCTGCACTACCAGGTACGTGCTTGTAACCAGCTGATGTTTAGAGCCTCAAATTTGGCATTATTAACTGTTTTCCTTCTACTTATGGTAATTCAATGTTGCTCTACACCACCTTGTTAAAATAAGGAATTTTAACCATGAAAAAAATGTTGATGAAACCTGAGAGGGAGGTGCTTAGATCACTACAGCCCCCATCCCACATATATATATATATATATATATATATATATATATATATATATATATATATATATATATATATATATATATATATATATATATATATATATATATATATATATATATATATATATATATATATATATATATATATATATATATATATATATATATATATATATATATATATATATATATATATATATATATATATATATATATATATATATATATATATATATATATATATATATATATATATCACAACTGAATCATCACTCACATATCCAATAAGACTTAGTGATATGGAAAATTATGAAATACAAAAAACTCTCCTCTAAAGTGGGGGTTATGTTCCTCGAAAACACCATGTTCAGCGAGTCCGTGTTGGAAGAACTTATTATCTTTTGAGAATACAGTACTGTAATAAGATTTGGGGACTGGCTGCATAAATTGTCCATTTATTACTTAGATACATAGATCTTTTTATATTCTGTATCCAAACATGAAAAGCCATACCAATACTGTATTGTATATGAACTAATAATTTATAAAATCAGACAAAGACATTTTCACAGGATAAAGAGATAATATATCCATGAAATCCACTTCATTCTTGGAAACTTAGTTGTCAGAGGTAGATTATTTAATAAGGAGTAAATGGGAATAGGTTCCAGTCCTTTGTTATTCTATATTTTGCATATGCCAAAAATGAAAAAAAAAGCTACAATAAACAATGAAAATGATACATGGCAAATCATAAAATACAATGACATACATATTATGTACCCAAAATATCTCCTGCCACTGTGAAACTACCCTTTGGGCAATGCAGAGAGTGGGGCTATGGGTGACAGTTCAGCCAGGTGAGGCAGTTATCCAGAGACGTGTGTGTGTGTGTGTGTTGGCTGCGCGCTGTGTATACCATGACGTCACATTAGGAGAGACAGGCGGTTGTGCTGGTGAGACTGGCAACAAACTCTACAGGCAGTAAATAGAAAATGGTTATTTTGAGCTAAGCTTAAATTTAACTTCACAGTCAGTGGTGAAGAGAATAAAGTAAACTTATATCAGAGGTGTGTGTTTAATATAAAATAGGCCAAAGTTCCTAGATGCATTATTGACAAACCTCCCACACAGAATTTACACCTATGCTCTTCATTTTTCTCGTTTTATAGTTAAAATTATATTTAATTTATTTCTAAATCACATTAGAGTATTCAAATGATATTTCCACAAATTTTATAGTTTCATAACATGTAACAATGGCAACCTGTGTAGCCATCTCACAGGCCACAGCTGACTGGCAACGTACAACTTCCTATGTGTTGTGTTTTGAGATGTGCACTTCTTTTGATTGACTGAAACAAAACAGCTATGGCGATACATTCTAGTTGGAGTCCATTAGTTTTCTTTTTATAATTATTACTATTTTTCTTTATCATAAACACAAGAATAAGCGGGGGGGGGGGGAGGGAGACAAACTTCATGATAAAGAAGCTGCCTTCATGCCATTTTGTAACTTATTAAGAACATTAAATTTTTCTTATAATGTCATCACTATAGGCTTTTCATTACTCCACCACCACTTGGAGATGCTTTATGTTTGGGTTCTATAGTGATTAAGGGTTAATTTCATACACACACACACACACACACACAAAAAAAAAGAAAGTAGATCAACTCGGACAACACGCATTAGCATTACGACAGCTTACATGTGAGATGCGAAGCAAGAGGGAGTCGCAGGAGAGCGTCAGTTCTAGAAAGTACAAAAGTGCGCAAAGTGTACCACGTACAGTATACTCGAATGTTTAACATTTGGCAAATAATTGTTTGCAATTACTTTTGCGTGTATAAGCGAATCCGTGTTGAAGGATGGCTTACTGCAGTTAAAAGCCTTAAATTTGTCTTTATCAATTGTTTTTTTTATCTGTGATAATTTAACATACCACAATAACACCATGTTAGAATAGAAATGTTTTAGTAATAACAACTGAGGGTAATAAAAATCCTGTGTTTAATGATGATGAGGGAGATGATAGTAGAGGTGGAGGAGGTGATGCACCTGTTTCTATGACTTCTGCACTGACAGCCACAAGTGATCAGCTGATGTCTACAGCCTCAAATTATTTATCGGTAAATGTTTTGTTTTATTTTACCTACGATAATTAAATGTAGATTTACAACAGGATGTTATAAAAAAGATGTTTTAACAGCATAAACTTCCAGCAAGAAATATTGAGATGTTTATGTCACTACATGAGAGAAGAATATGTAATAAATATCCACAGCATGGAGTAAAATGGCGGTTGTATTAATCATTGTTATAATTACTTGAATGTAATTTATTCACTTTGTTATTGTCTTGTAACTGTTTGTAGATTTTTTAAGTGGCGGTGATTATCTTGAAATTCATTTAAGCATATGTATTTTAAATGTGGTTACACTTTATTGTTATTATTATTAATATATATATATATATATATATATATATATATATATATATATATATATATATATATATATATATATATATATATATATATATATATATATATATATATATATATATATATATACAGTATATATAAATTACCGGTGTACTGTACAGTATATATATTTCATGGCTTAGTCACTGTATTAACATTATCCATACTAACAATAGTTCATTGATAAGTTTATTAATAATCATAGAAAGATAATCATAGAAAATAGTTTATTTGTAGGAATGGCAACTCTATACCTGAGATGCCAGTTATGTCTCATCATTGAGAAGGTAAAGGCTACTAGTGACTCATTAATTGTATACTTACCGTACCTGTACACGAGATGGAAATTATGCACACACACACACACACTGATGATGATTTAATCTGCAAATTACTGAACAAAAATTGTTATATATATATATTACAAGGTAAGTTACCTGGCTTCACCTGGATGGAGGGATGGGATAGTGTGTGACATTACCTGCACTTCCCCTCCAAATTACAGCTTTCTGTCTTTAGAACTGGACCGACCTGTGGGTGGGAAGTCATGGTGAGCCCTTGATAGGGCTAAGAGCAAGCATTTATGATTTTCCAGTTCTTTGGAAAAGGAGACACATTACACACATGTATGCTCACGCAGAGAGTGTTTGTGTGTGTGTTTTGGACAGTTTTATTCAATGAAATTGTATTATTCAAACATATGGCATGACTTTACTCCATTGGGTGGTGTGTGATAGATAAGAAGAAATGAGATTGTGGAGAGAGGAACACTATATATGACATTGAAAATCCTACCATTCACTTGTATGATATTGTTGTCCTGAATAAACTAAAGTATCAAGGGCAGATTGCTATACATATCAAATTCTTACTTAATTTGTCTAACCAGTACCAAAAACTCCTGTGTGCATCTACTGAGAAAGGGAAGATTATAAAATATGATGTAAACAAATTGTCATATGCAGTAGCCAAAGGTGAAGCAACAGGAGACCAGAGCATCGAGTAATATGTAAAGGACACGATGGTTCAAGAGATTATCATTCTTGGCAAATTATTGTCTTTTAGCACATTTACAGCTGCTTATATCGTAACCAGAATCATCAGCATCCATAATAGGTGTAAAGAACTCTAAGGATTTGCCATTTCACTTTAATATTCTAAAAGTTATTTGGGAAAACAAATGGAAATTTTACTTGGTTTAGCAAATAAATGGCTTGTAAACAATACAAAACATGGGCTACTATCAACTACAGTGTTGATGTTTGGAATGACCACTTCCAAAAGTACTGTACAGTGATGTTTTTAGGTGATGGATGAATTTTTTAAATACATGACTTGGACAAGTTATTGGGTGAAATATGAAAGGTAAGACTTATTTTGCTGATATTGGGTGTTTTTAGAAATTAGAACTTAAGGTAAATCAAGACCTACTTTAAAACATTATTACTTTTTTCTTGAATGTGATTTGGTGAATTTCAGCTCACAGTTGTTCT